TGAATTTTTAACACCTTATATTTCTGAAACCGCAAGATTTTTCAAATTTCTATAAGCGCAAAAAGCTAACGGTAAATTCCATGACATTAAAAAATATAATTATTTTTCTCAACTCACACAATTAAACCTTAAAATATAGCATTATGTTAACCCCTCTTTATAATAATTTTTGCTTTATTTCAAAGACTACATAAATCGTTCATCCTAAATATATGCAATCCAAGAAATTGTTTTGTTTATGAATGAAAATAATTTTAATAGTGTGGTAGATATGCATAGACTGCATTTAAAAGCAGAATTTTCACTTTTTGAAGGGAAAAGTGCTACAATACAAACCATTGGTTTGACCCAACTTTATTATATATTATTACAATATATTTTTACATATATTTAATATATTACTTATTTATTTTTTTATAAAAGCACGTCTTCATTTTATTGAAGGTGGGTTTATTATAGTTCGAAATATTGGCATTTCGGCAATGTGCTTTAATTTGGTAATCTAGAGTTTTTATGTTACAGAAGAAATAAGCAACCACAATTATAAATAAATAAGCAACGACAATTTATTTTGGTTTATAAGTAAGTATCAGGCTTTATTTTTAAATTATAATAATTAGTTTGTGAAATTATTTAAGGTTTTAAATATAATTTTTATTTCATATACTTATATTTAATTTGATTTATTTATAACAATTTTATTTAAATTTTATAAAATGAAATTTTACTTAAAAAATTCCAAAAATTTAAAAAAATAGTTTAAATGGAAAAAAAATTTGAAAACCGAGGCCCACTACGATAACAAGGAGCACTTCAAGCGAACTAAAAAAGTCAAAGCTGATTGGAAAGCTTAAAGTCGCTCATGAAATGACGAAGTTAGACGAACGATGGGACCAGTGACTAACGCGCCAAATACTCGAGCTTTCCCATTGGAAAGCTCGAAACGGTTGCAAGATTTGTTTCTGGAGAAACTAGTGCTACACCTTTGACCGCAAAAGAGGTGGTGGAAAAGCAGCTATCCCCCAAGATACGCAAGAATTGATAAAAGGAAAGAAGGCTCATTAAAGGCTTTTCTAAAGGGCCTATGCTCACATGCAGGAGGTGTAAAACGAAGCATGGCTGTGAGGTACATTCAAGTAAATTTAGCTTCAAAGAGTACTTTCCTAAAAATATGCCGGCAGGCTGGAACGGCCTGATGACTCCATGACAGAAGAAGGGAAGTAGAAGTTGGAGAAGGGAAGCAGACCTCAACAAACTTTCCTAATTCGGAGGTCATGCAAGGCTGCCTAAGTGCGGTCATTGATCCAAGAGCATCTTAGCGCAAGAGAGATGACTAGAAGGCTCCCGTTTCTAAAAGGGTTTTCAAAATATTGCGTTTAGGTCTTTTCGTCCAATTAGTCTTACCTCTTTTCTGTTGGAGACGATGGAAAAGGTGACAGATATATTCGGGAGGATGTACTGGAGGTCAGCTCCTTGTATGAGTCACAATACTCGTATTATCCGAGAAAGTCCACTATATTCGCTCTACAAAGTCTGGTAGGGGTAATTGAGAACTCGCTGAATGCAAGGAAAATGGAAGTTGAATGTTTCCTTGACATCGAAGAGACGAGGCGATAATACTGTGTCATCTATGACTCGCGGCGGTCGTATGCTACAGGATTGGATTATTAAGTCCGACATAACATGCTCTAAATCTCCGCTGCAAAAGGGTGGGGATCTTTCATACCTTTTGGAGTCCCTCTGGAACTGGTCTGCCTCCCGTGGCACAACTTCGATCGGGGATACGAAGTGGTATTTCCTGATCAATGCAGATGGGAACAGAAGGCTCAGTTTTTCAGAGTGGTTCCTATGTTTGATACGTTAATGGGTCCAAAACGTATTCGGGAGTGGGAACAGACACACGTATAAGCGCAAGCCTGGATCCGTATTACTCGGTTTTTCAAGCTGAAATACATGCAATAAAAATATGCCCCAGAGTTAGGTTAGAAAGGGGATATAAGAATCGCACAATATATTCGCTCTCAGACAGCTGGGTGGCATTGTTTTCGCTCCAATCGCCTCAGAAAACATCCAGGCTGGTTTGAAGCTGCGTCCTCGCGCTTGCAAGGTTGAAATCAACAAACAGAGTAACGCTCATTTGGACTCCAGGGCACAGCAGGCGCGAGAGTAATGAGACGGCTGACGGGTTGGTGCGGAAGAAATCTAAGATAACTTTCGTTTGACCCGTTCTCTTCTTTGGACGGCCAATTGATGACATTAGGGACAGGCTTGGCGCCCTGCTTAAGGAGTGTCGTTCAAATCTTCGCTGGGGAACCTCAGGGAATGTCATAATGCGAACATGTTCCTTCCATCTTGCTTAAGAAAACTCTCCTCAGAGTTACTTGAGATGGATCGAAATCGGTTTCGTGCAATTATTGATTTCTTTACTGGTCATTGTGCGGTGAAATATCACTTACACAAAATGGGTAAATCGAACGCCCTTTTATGCAGGTTCTACTGGGACGGCAAGGAGACAGCCATGCATTCTGTGTGACTATCCTGCTCTGGCTATCAGGAGGTAGAGATGGTTTGGGCTTTCCCATTTGGAGGAGCTCATGTCCAACTATCTGAGGGATATCTCCTGGTATTTGCTTGGAATCGGAATAGTTCAAATGGGATATGGGAGGGCTACAATAAGCCATACTGGCTGCAGTGATTCGAGAGAGGAATCCCTTTGCTATGTCTTTCTTCGACAATAAGAAGAAAAGCAAAAAAATACATAATATTATTTATTTAATATATTTGAATTTCATATAAATTTTGTTAAAAATTTAACCTTTTATATCTAGCCACATAATTTTTTTAACGACTGTATTGTGTAAACAATAGGTAGGTTATGTGATGGCAACAAATTTTGCATATCGAGTTTTCGGTGGGAACGTACTTCTCGACAACCTGTCGGTCTGTCGGTCTGTGTGTGCACGCGTGTATCTCAAGATCGGCTGAACCGATTTTGATGAAATTTTATATGTAAGTTTATTTTGACTATGGCTCGGTTTGATCAACTTTTGGAATATATCAGGCCTCGGGAACTGCACCTCTTAGCGGGCCTGTTTTACATTTTTGACCATTTTAAAGAATATATTCAACCAATTTGCTTGAAATTTCATACATAAGCTTTGCTCGACCGTCCGCGAAACTTCCTAACTTTTGGAAGAAATCAGGTGTCAGGAACTGGACGTTTACTACGGGCCGAATATACATTTTTGCGTATATAAAGAGAAATAATCAACCGATTTCATTGATATTTAATATATAAATTCCTCGTATTAAAACAGTGAACATATAAATTTTTTAGAAAGATCAGGACTTGAAAACTGATTTGCTTGCCGATTTTAAATTTTTCACCATTTTGAAGAAAATATTCAACCGATTTACTTGAAATTTCATATATAAGCTTTGCTCGACCATTTGAGAAAATTCCTTGCTTTTTTAACAAATCAGGCATCAGCAACTGGACGTTTACTACGGGCCAAATATACATTTTTGTGCATATAAAGAGAAATAATCAACCGATTTCATTGAAATTTAATATTTAAATTCCTCGTATTAAAACAATGAACATCTAAATTTTTTGGAAAGATCAGGGCTCGAAAACTGATCTGCGGGCCGATTTTACATTTTTCACCATACCTACGGAACGAATTGATAGAATTTTTTGAGATTTGATATTTGAGTTCTGGTTGTTAACGAAACTAACTGGCGAGCATTTCAGGGAATTCGGGTGGCACAAAGTGAAACTGTACTAAGAGCCAAATTTACATTTTTCTAGGTATGTTAACTATAAGCTTACTAATGTCCTAAAAATTGGAAAGAAGTATTTAACAGACATTTTTATAATATTCCGTAACACTTACATTTAACTAGCCAATACACAATGCGGTCGGTTATGTGCTGACCACATCAGATTTTTTTTAAATTACTTATTTACTGAATTTTCTATATGCCCAAGCGCGGTCACATTCCTGAAAAGAAGAACAAGCATGGCTCAAAATTCTGCTCACAATAATTGAAAAACCGGTGTGGTGAACATTAGTTAACATTATGACTAACATACATGTAAGACTTTTTGAAGATTTTGTAAGTTTTATACCAGTGATTCAACATTTAATCAGTAATTGTACTTCTAAAAAAAAATCCATCAATTATAATAAATAATGACTTCCACACAATTCCATTCAATTATAATAAAAATAACCTTTTTTTAGCTTTCCGTTCGGTTTTATGTTAACTATTTACCGTATCATCAATTCCTTTTATTATCTCGTCATAACGTGTTTTGTTTTTAATATTTTTCACTCACTCCCGAGACGCGAAAATATCACAATGAACAAAGTTTTGAAAACCATTCTGCGCATTAGAGAAGTAGCGCCAAGGAATCTTTGCTGCTGAATCTAGATATTGTTTAGAGAATTCCGGGTGCCAAAAAAATTATGGTTGTATACAAAAAACTCTTGTGCAATGGAGAGATTGTTTTTCGATCGTGACCCGCTAATTTTAGTACATCAAATAAAATTCGAACAAGGAAATGATACGGCATACGTAGTTTATCTCTAATAAAACCTAAAGTTACTGGAGATCTATTAAGCTCTTTGTATAAATTATATTAACCAAAATTGTGTTAACTGAAATTTCAAAAATCTTATTTATATTAGGTGAAAGGCTGAGAGGTAAGACAGCTCGCCTAGTACGCGATTATGAAATAGTAGCTTGCTAAATTCAAAAGCTTTAAAAGCAGACTTGTAACCTCGTCGTCGATTTTGCTATACAGTTTTTTTGCTATACTAAATGTTTGAAGTGGACACAAATAAATTAAAAAGGTGCAGATATATAATAGTATATCAAAAATTATAACCAATATTAATTAGAAAAGCTCTAATGTTTAAAGTAAAAATTAAGGCAAAAGTCTTAAAAGACAAAATATTAGTAAGAAAATGTTTGATAAAATTGTAAGAACTTACTGGCTTCCAAGCTTTTTCCTTCTGTTATATTCGCAACGGCTTGTAGTACAAACGGGGTAATATTTTTTCCAAAAATTTTATTCTCCTTGCATTTATTTAAAGCATTTTTTATAGCATTGTTTATTAGATCACCTGAAAAACAATTTATTCAAATTTATATTTACATATACGCTAATAGTTAATTTTAAATTAGTGACTTCAACTTCCGTAGATTGAAAATAAATGTAAAACGTCTTCAACAATTAAGTATTATTTTACTAACAATTAATAAGACCCATTATTTGATTTAACGATAAAGGAATATTATGAATATCAAGCGTTCTAAGACAAACTGAAACTCCAAACGCCGGGACCGGATGACTAGAGGGCAACGTAACCACTATAATGCGTACTCGGGGTACCAGACACTTTCTCGTTTAAATAAGGCACGTTACAGTTTACCGTGCTCTATAATAGGAGATCGTTCATATTTTCTGCCACTCATAGAAACAAGCATGGAAGATTTTAGTTAGCCACATATCAAAAAAAGAGGAAAGTTCGCAAAGCTTTGAGTCACACACTTCCTATCATTTGGGGATAACAGGGAAAGGGGAGACAAATTTATAACCGAATTCAAGTCAACAAAATGAAATTTGTGCGTCTGACTGGGCAATTATATATCGAGAATATATGCTGTGAGGTGCAATAAGTAAACTTGCAGCAACAAAAAGGCGGCTTCCCACATTTTAAGTCACCAATTCGGAGTAAATTACTTAGACTTCGTTCTTGTCAAAGAGCCTTATGTCTATTAAAGACAAGTAAGTCGGTTGTCGGGTGAGTCGCTTTATGATAACTCAAAAAATTTAAATAAAGATGTTCCCAGAGTATGCATGATATTTAATAAAACAAATACATCAAGCCGTTAGTCAACATAGGTGCCAACAAAAAATTCATAAAATTAACCTAAGCCCCAAACGCCATCCAGCTGGTTTTATTGTAAATTTTCTTTATAATTTTGACATCAAAATTACACAGAAAATAACAGTCAAATTCATTGTGTTGACAACAAGACAGAAACTATATTCTTTGTTTTAACTGGACTAGAAAGCTTCGAACATGTCTACCTGGATGTGCTAAGTAAATTCCTACATATGAAAATTGCGTTAAAAGAAAGCAAGTTATTATAGATGGACAATATTACATTATATTATAAGAAAAAAATGTTAACCTTGAAGTACCAGTATTTCAGTAAGTACTTCTGAAGAAGCTGAAATGGAAAGCTACAACTGATCCACTGTATAAATGAGAGCAGAGGTTGACAAGAAGATCAACAAAAAAACTTGAAGATGTCCATGGAAAATGGATGAAAAGCCAATGGAATTCACCATGATATGCCTATTTGAAAAGAAGAGAATCTTAATAAATGTAAGAAAGGTTTTCAAAAAGATTTTCAGAAGAGATTGAATTATATCTCCAATATATATGTATATTATGTAAAAAAATTAAGGGCTATAAAACTAGCTAAACTAGTTAGCTGTAGCTATAAAACTAACAAACAACCGGAAATTTTAAACGAACTTAAGCAATTCTTGGTTTTAACATCTTGTAGCTATCATTGAATATGTCTTGTTTTTTTTTATCTTTGACAAATTTAATGATAGAGAAAAATGCGCAAAGTATGAGGCACCATTCAATGAAAGTCAAAATAAAATTTAGGAACGAAGAACTATATAGCTGCAATGATCAAAAGGAGCTCCCATTCTAAGGAGTTTTTTCAAATTTCGAGAAACCTTCCAATTTCACTACTGATGTGTCGAATCAGGCAAATATTTTTGCCTTGTCGCGGGGTGACACGAAAAAACATACACCGATTACTTATATATCACCATTTCTTTATAAAACCGAAGAAAATTATGCAATGGGCGAAAAGAATGCGCTTCTTATAGTGTGGGCCCTAGATAAATTACGAAATACTTCTATGCAGCAAAAAGAATAAAACAAGAAGAATAAAAATTCTGATGGATTATCAGCCTCTTACGTTCGTAACAGTAATAAGCACGTTAAGTTAAAAAACGTTAAGTTTAAAAGGTTGCCAAGAGCAATATAATTATGATCTTATATTCATATAAAGGGACAAATAATTCCAGGGATGTTTCATCGAACAACTCCTTGCAAAAAATTATATGGGTGCAGGGGGTGCAGATATACTCGTTTGTCTAGCTACAGCCTGTTGAAAAAAAGACATCAATTTTTTTTTTGATTATCCCCGCGAAACAATTTGTTTCTTTAAATTGATCAAGGAATCATTAAACAAAAAGTTAGAAAAGGTGTGTGGGAAACCTGTTTTGAAATAAAGTTGGGTCAAAGCAATGGTTTGTATTGTAGCACTTTTCCCTTCAACAAGTGAAAATTCTGCTTTTAAATACAATCTATGTATACCTATCATACTATTAAAATTATTTTCATTCATATACAAAACTATTCCAAGGATTGCATATATTTAGGATGATGCATATATGCAGTCTTTGAAATAAAGCAAAAATTAATATAAAAAGGGGTTAACATAATGCTCGATTTTAAGGGTTAATTGTGTGAGTTAAGGAAAACAATTATAATTTTTAATGTCAGGGAATTTACCGTTAGCTTTCTGCGTTTATAGAAATTTGAAAAAACGTGCGATTTCGGAAATATAAGGTGTCAAAAATTCGAATCTTACAAATTTCAAGGGGCGATAACTTGAGAGGGGGTGGAGATGGAAAAAAATTTTCTTCTAACGAAATGAACTATTTGTTAATATCTAAAAGTCCCCAAAATTTCAAGCTTCTACAGTCTGGGGTCTAGAAGAAAAACGACATCAAAAATTTGGAAAAAAAGGACTTTAGATAACGGTAAATTTGAACGGCCATTTTGTTTTTCTAAAGTTTAACTGTAGTAACCTGCGCTAGGGAAAGCAAGCTGCTGCCTTTCTGCGTTTGCAAAATTTCAAAAATTCTTATGGTTTCATTGCAACAAATAGTTAAAAAAGGCCATTTTTAAGGTTTTGGGGGGGTATAACTTCTAGAGGGGGGGAGATAGGTAAAAATTTTGTTCTACGGAAGTAAGTTTCTAGTAAAGATCTATGTACATATAAAATTTCAGCTTTCTATCTTCAAGGGTGTAGAAGTTTTGTAAACAAAAAAAGTGTCCACGGACGGACGGACGGACGGACGGACGGACGGACGGACAGAGTGAAACTAATAAGCACTTTTTTCAAAAATTTTTTTGGAAAAGTGCTAAAAATGAAACATTCTTCATATTGGCAGTTTGCTCTATGTTCAATGAGCCATGTGAAAAATGTGAGACTAACTGATTTTAAGTGATATTTGCTTCAAAAAGGTTAGTTTAGTTTAAGGTAATTTTTAAGATTGGTTAAATCAGCTAAAGTAATAATTTAATATTGTCTTAAATTATTACTTAAAATAAAACTCAATGTTGTTCTGAATTATTAATGTCAAAATAAAATAAAAACTAAAAATTGGCTTACCTAAAAGAGTTAAGTAGTATCCTTATTATTTTTATAATTTACTTATTTTATTTTTATACACATAGGATTTATTGAGAGAGGAAAAGTGTATGCAATAGACATATACCTATTTTTTTATGATATATTTTTGAAGTACAGGGAAAATATTAAGCATTTTAAGGCGCACCATTTCTGTTATTCTAGTACAAGGTGGCAAGAGTGTACCCACATTACAAAATAAAAAAAAATAATTATAATATTTTTATAATAACAAGTAAAAACGTTTCAGTCGGTATGAACCGATTGAATTATACCCTGCACCTTTCATTGTTGTATAGCAATTACTCAAACCTGTGAAACCATTCTATAGAAACTTCACGGATATGTCTGACCTATAACTGAACACACAACTACTAAGTTTCATGAATCTGACTTTATTATTTTTCCAAATATTTAAAATTAGCTTTTGGAGTTGTATGGCAGGTACCCGAACCTGCCAAGCAATTCCACTAAAACTTCGCTAATATATCTGACCTATAATTGGACACACAACTGCCAAGTTTCATGAATCTAACTTTATTACTTTTCCAAATATTTAAAATAAGCTTTTGGACTTGTATGGGGCCACTGGAACCTGTCAAGCAATTCCACCAAAACTTCAGAAATATCTTTGACCTATAATTGGACACACAACTGCCCAGTTTCATGAATCTGTCTTTATTATTTTTCCAAATATTTAAAATTAGCTTTTGGAGTTGTATGGCAGGTACCCGAACCTGCCAAGCAATTCCACTAAAACTTCGCTAATATATCTGACCTATAATTGGACACACAACTGCCAAGTTTCATGAATCTAACTTTATTACTTTTCCAAATATTTAAAATAAGCTTTTGGACTTGTATGGGGCCACTCGAACCTGTCAAGCAATTCCACCAAAACTTCAGAAATATCTTTGACCTATAATTGGACACACAACTGCCACGTTTCATGAATCTGACTTTATTATTTTTCCAAATATTTAAAATAAGCTTTTGGACTTGTATGGGAGCCACTCGAACCTGTCAAGCAATTCCACCAGAACTTCAGAAATATCTTTGACCTATAATTGGACAAACGACTGCCACGTTTCATGAATCTGACTTTATTATTTTGGCGAATATAAAAAATTTGCTTTTGGAGTTGTATGGCAGCCACCCGAACCGGTGCAGCTATCTCATTAAAATTTTTAGAGCATGTGTAGAATATAATTGGACACATGTATACAAAATTTTATATTTGTACCTTTATTAGTTTTTGAAATAATTAAAATAAACTCTTTGAGTTGTATGGCAGCTACCCGAACCCGTTGTCCGAATTGGTCCAATAACAATAGGGTTCGTCCTTGGCACAAAAGAAGCAACTTGTGAAAGTTTGGTGTCGATTGCATTATTCGTTTTTGAGTTATCGTGCGATCGGACGGACGGACGGACGGACGGACGGACGGACGGACGGACGGACGGACATGTCTAAATCAACGCAGAATTTTACGCTGAGCAAGAATATATAGTTGGGGGGGGAACGGGATAGTATGCGGAACTTAGCTTGATGGGTTCCAGTTACATCAACCACAGCCTATGCTATCTCCACGCCAAGTTTTACCTTCACGAGGTC